GGATCTTTTTAGATTTTTAGCATTCCTTTGAGTAATCACAATTTTTGCCCCCGGAAAGAATTTAGCCAGTCATTGCCAGGAAGGTTTTCTTTAAAACAACTAATTATCACTGCTTTGTGGTTTAGATATGACTGCACTCTTTTGTATCTTGTCTTGCAAAAGATTATCCATTATCCGCAGATCATCTGTGGCAGATGTAATCATTACACTTGCAATCTACCCAAAGGATAGACGATTGTTTATCACCTCTGCCACGGCCAATTCAATATTTTCTGGGTGATAATTTCTTTGATACACTGTTCCAGGAATATGTTTATGCTTTTAAGGCATCGTCACAGAACAAAACTTATTTTACATAAGGCATCGTTCCAAATAACCCTAAAAATCCATGCAAAAAGCAACTGTTTAAAAAAAACACTAACAAATTGTTTGTGGTGATTGTTTAGGTTACTAAAAGTTATTTGCCATCCCTATCAGATAAAAATTACCTTATCTTTTAATTATTTTTCCAAAAAACACGGAAGAATTTGCACAAAATTTCGCACGATGTCAACACTTAACCTAAAATAAAGAAATAAACACTTCGTGATAGAGCGGTAAATTTGAATTTTTCTTCGTTTGTTCCGTGTAACCCATAGAAATAATACCACAGAATTTTGTGATAATACTATGGTGTAACCTCTGTTGTTCCATCACCTAAATACGATAGTAAACCTTTATTGAAACTATAATAATTTTAGGTATCTAAAAGTAGGTTTTGTGTATTTCGGCCTTATTTTTAAAACTATGACTTTAAAAATTGTATTGCATAGTTAAATTTGATTTTACTTTTATAACTAATGTTACAAAGACTAAAAATTTTAAAAAAATCCACATTAAAAATTTTCTCGACGGGACTTAAAATAATTTTATGTTGCTAAATGTGTGTTTTGGAACGTTGCTGCAACGTTTCTAGCATACAATTTTACAACGTAGTTTGAAAGTGGGTTTTGTGTATTTCGATCGTATTTTTGATATTATAACTTTAAAAAATGTATTGCAGAGTTTGATTTTACTTTTATAAATAATTTATTATAAAAAATAAAAAAAAACACATTAAAAAATTTGCCGGCGGGACTTAAAATAATTTTATGTTGCTAAATGTGTGTTTTGGAACGTTGTTGCAACTTTTCTAGCATACAATTTTACAACGTAGTTTGAAAGTGGGTTTTGTGTATTTCGCTCATATTTTTGATATTATGACTTTGAAAATGTGTTGAAGGGTTTTATTTTACTTTTATAAGTAATGTATAATAAAAAAAAAATTGAAAAAAAAATCCTCAGTAAAAAAATTTTCGTCGGGACTTTGAAAAAATTTTATGTAGCCAAACGTGGGTTTTGGAACGTTGTTGCAACGTTTCCAGCAATACAATTCTGCAACGTTGTTTGAAAGTGAGTTTTGTGTATTTCGCTCATATTTTTGATATTATGACTTTGAAAATGTGTTGAAGGGGTTTATTTTACTTTTATAAGTAATGTATAATAAAAAAAAATTGAAAAAAAATCCTCAGTAAAAAAATTTTCGTCGGGACTTTGAAAAATTTTTATGTAGCCAAACGTGGGTTTTGGAACGTTGTTGCAACGTTTCCAGCAATACAATTCTGCAACGTTGTTTCAAAGTGGGTTTTGTGTATTTCGGTCATATTTTTGATAATATGACTTTAAAAATGTGTTGAAGGGTTTTATTTTACTTTTATAAGTAATGTATAATAAAAAAAAATTGAAAAAAAAATCCTCAGTAAAAAAATTTTCGTCGGGACTTTGAAAAAATTTTATGTAGCCAAACGTGGGTTTTGGAACGTTGTTGCAACGTTTCCAGCAATACAATTCTGCAACGTTGTTTGAAAGTGGGTTTTGTGTATTTCGCTCATATTTTTGATATCATGACTTTGACAATGTGTTGAAGGGTTTTATTTTACTTTTATAAGTAATGTATAATAAAAAAAAATTGAAAAAAAATCCTCAGTAAAAAAATTTTCGTCGGGACTTTGAAAAAATTTTATGTAGCCAAACGTGGGTTTTGGAACGTTGTTGCAACGTTTCCAGCAATACAATTCTGCAACGTTGTTTGAAAGTGGGTTTTGTGTATTTCGCTCATATTTTTGATATTATGACTTTGAAAATGTGTTGAAGGGTTTTATTTTACTTTTATAAGTAATGTATAATAAAAAAAAATTGAAAAAAAATTCTCAGTAAAAAAATTTTCGTCGGGACTTTGAAAAAATTTTATGTAGCCAAACGTGGGTTTTGGAACGTTGTTGCAACGTTTCCAGCAATACAATTCTGCAACGTTGTTTGAAAGTGGGTTTTGTGTATTTCGCTCATATTTTTGATATTATGACTTTGAAAATGAATTGAAGAGTTTTATTTTACTTTTATAAATAATGTACCTATAATAAAGTTTAAAAATTAAAAAAAAAATCCTTATTGAAAAATTTTCGTCGGGACTTAGAAATAATTTTATGTATCTAAACGTGGGATTTGGAACGTTGCTGCAACGTTTCCAGCAATACAATTCTGCAACGTTTCCAAGACAACGTTTTAACTACGTATTTCCCACTTAAAATCATACATTAAAATAACGTTTCCAAGACAACGTTTTAACTACGTATTTTCCACTTAAAATGATACACTAAGACAACGTTATGAGTATAACAAATTATTATACAAATTTGCAACGTTGTCTGAATGTATGCAAACGTTATTTTCTACCAGGGGATAGAGGCAGCGGAAGTCAAAAGGCAAAAAAAAATAGAAAAAAACGACATGTTCTACATGGCTGTTTGCTCGTATAACATCAATCTTGAAAAACTTCGACCATCTCTTGTGGAAATCTTTTGGAACTTTACCAATCTAATGTAGATTATGCAGTTTAAACATTTATCAGCTAATTTTTGTGTGCTGTGGGCCCCATATTGTCCTCCCAAGGACCCCTGTCACTTCGGCGGACAATAACGAAAATAACAAATAACGCTACAACAATATAAAAATTCCGCGAAATACAAAACAAAAAAATTCCTATACAGATTATAACTTATAACCTGAAAATTAAAATATAAACAAGCAATATTAAAACCAAATAAAAATATTCTAACGCTAGAACTCCCGCCCGCCCGTATGCCGTGGGAGCATTTATAGATATTTATTATAATCTATAAATGCTACTGCGGCTTTAAATGATATATCTAGGAAAGAAAAGGAACTCTATAAATGAAGCTTGGCAAAAAAATTAAATAATTATAATCCGAATCAGACGTGTCGGTGTTAGATTTGAAAAACTGTAACGATTTATTTGGTAACGAGACTCTCGGTTGTCTTATTTTTGTATTTAAATTTGTACTTAAATTAATTAAACTTTTTTAACATGTTATTCTATAGATGTCGCTAGCTTTTACAATTTATTTAAGATGGTTTACTAATGGCGGGTTTACGAGTCACTCGCGTGCGTTTGGAGGTCGCGTTTACGCGAGCTAGCCAACGCGCGCGACTGATTTAACTCATGGTGGGCAATGGGATCGTTTATAAGTGACCTCGCGTGCGTTAAAAGGACGCGTGCGCCAAATCTTAGCCAGTTTGACGTGTCTTGGTTTTTATCCGGGGAAAAAACTTTACGCCGTAAAACGATCGCGCGCGTTGAAGCCGATATCACGTGACATGGCCAGCCAATGGCATCAGCCGCGTAGCCTGCGTGGGAGAAGTGTTGTGTCAAACATAATTAGCAGACGAGCTAAATTCATTAATATTGCGGTTCGAAGAATTAAAAATGGGTCCATTTTCCCAAAGTATGAGACATGAGACGAAATAAAAACACACGCACTGAGGAACCAGCTGACGTTCGAAGGTGAGCAATCGCGCGCCTTTGAAACTCGTAAATGGGGTCGCGTCAGGAAGAACGCGTTGACGCGAAGGCCCAGGAAACGCACGCAAACCTCAAACGCACGCGAGTGACTCGTAAACCCGCCATAATATTTATTTAAAAAAAACTAAATTCCGCTATGGTTGGCAATACTGCCTTCAATCTTATTCAACAACCAAAGAACTCCATCACCACAGTGTTGCCAACTCCTAATGCAATATAGTACTACTACTCGGTAGTAAAGTTAAAAATGGCAAAATTTTAAAATCCTAAAATACATTATAAGTTGTAAAAAATAAATTTTAAAATTGGAAAGTAACTATCTAAAACAAGAAAAACAAAAATAAAATGTATTATTAGGTATTGTTAATTGTTTTAACCTTTACTTTATGAAACTCCATAATATGGAGTCCATATTATTAATATATGAATAAAATCAAAACTGTTTTAAAGTTTGACTATTTTATTTATGTTTTTTTTTAAATAATTAACAATTGTTTCACTTCACAGTAGCTTCTTCAGAATTAGTAAAGAAGCTACTGTGTAGCGAAACAATTGTTAATTATTTAAAAAACATAAATAAAATAGTAAAACTTAAAAAAAGTGCTGTTTTTATTCATATATTAGTGACACAGAAAAAATTAAAGCCAGAACATATGAAATGCATTTTAGCATGGAAATAAGTTAAGTGCAGAATTGGGTAGTCCAAAGTTAAAAAAAAATTATAACGTGAAAATTGTACGAGTTCTGCATGTTGATTAATGAAAACAACAATATTGAAACAAGTATTCATATACATATTTGTAGTAATTTTTTTCTTAGGATTTCCCACCCTTATCGACGTCCTTAACTAGTCTCATCCTGTAAATGGTATTTAACTGTTGTATGTAAATTAAATTAAATTAAATAAAAATACGGCTTTTATTCGCGAATTCACGCCATTAACCCATGGCAGAAAATCTGCGAGGGGTTGATGGTCGAAAACAAGGATATAAGCTTTTTATACCCTAACGATCGCAACTAAAACTTTTTCTTCAATTAATTGCAATAAACCCATGCATGTAGAAATTAATATTGGACTGTACTTGACGATATACTTTTTTAGATGGAAGTTACACTGACCCATTGGGGCCTCAGCCTATACGCCCCAGAACTGGAGCTGGAAAACCTTTGGATTTTGATGATTTTGGCAATGAAGAACTTGGTGATGACCTATTACCAGAATAAACATGTCATATTTTCAAAATCACATAGATCTCGCTATTTTCGTAGTAATTTATAATCACAATTAAATTAAAGTTTTATTGAAAATAAAAACATTTCTATATGATAAATAAAAGCTTTTATTTGTAGTTAAAATAAAAAATATAATCATTGAAACAATATTACTAATGAATTGTTCATTACGTAATAATACTAGGAAAATTATTATAAATAAATTGTAATCCACTGTACCATGGGTATACAACAAATACAAATTATACAAAAATACTGCAATTTCAAAGATTTAATAAAACAATATCTACAAATAAATAAAAATAAAATACATATACAATCACTGGATAGCTCACAAATTTTGTAATACATACAGAATTGTTACAAATCCCAAACCTCCTTTATAAAATAACTTTTAGGAAAGGTATAATTATTATTTTTACTTGTTGGCAACTAATTGATGGATAGATTAAAAGATATATTAATTAACTAAATTTATTAAGCAAATTTAGCAAAAAAATAGGTTGCTTATATCAAAAAAGGAGGTTATATTCGCAACGCCGCGTCAATAGGATAAATAAATATAAAATAAAAAATATAGTTTGTTTAAAATGTCTACTGTTAGGTATTAGTTATAAGAAATTTTTTTAAATAAATTAATAATAACAATAAACATTTTTGTAGTCAAAATGACCATCACAGGTTAAATAATAACTATAATAAATTAATTATTAACTAATTGATTATAACATCAATTGTTAATATTTTCCGTAAATCTACCTAAAACCATGGTCCTCAATAAAGGACCAACTTCTTTAGGATCTTGTAATACTTCAACTAACATTTTTTCTATGTTCCTCATTATAGAAACTTTTTGGTGATCATTAAGTGGATATTCTATATTAGTTGGTCCACCCTAAACAAAACAGAATATTGTGTAAATAGATATTGATAAAACAAAATTAAATGAACTTACTTTAAACCAAAAGTTAATTGTTATTGTTGGACCTCCACTCAATAATGATTCAACGTGATGCCACCAGTAAATAGGTATATACAAAACATCTCCAGGACCTAGTACAGTTTCAAATCCTTTAGCTTGTTTAAACTTTGGAAATTTATTGTAGTCTGGCTTTTCAAAATCAACCTAACAAAAGAAAAATTAAATTTCATAAAAAATTACATTTTCTTTTAACTTACCATACTTTGCCTATCATGTGGATGAAATATTGGATGAGGATACAAACATTCAAACTGATTGGGAGGAAATAATATACATCGTTTATATCCATAAACTTGAGCAAAAAAATTCTGTTGTTCATCATAATGACAAGGTGTTACATTACCCTCCATTGCCACAAATAATAAATTGGATGTTAATGGCCCCCAGTTATGTTTGTCCTGTTTTCCATTTACATATTGCCAATCAAACCTTACAAAATCTTCTGCTATTGCTTGTCCTACACTAGCATTTAATGATTGTTGAAGATATATTCTAAAAATTATTTTAATAAGCAAAATATTTGCGAAAAATAGATGAGTTTACAATAAATATGTATTTTTGAAATGAAATAAACCATAAGCAAGATATTAACAAAACAATCTTCAGTCTTAAATTGTCCAGTTTATTTTATAACACAGCTATTCCACGTTACTCGGCAATTTTTGTAGCGTCCGTAATTATTATAAAAAATTGAGTAAAAACGAAAGTAATTATCAGCGACCCCAAAAACCTCTATATACAGATTTTTAGGAGAATCCGACTACTCCTTGATATTTTGCCGAAAATTTCGAGAATTGAAACACTGTGGGTCGGGATAAAAATGTCCGATTATATTATTATATAAACAAACCACATTTAATCCACCATAATAAATACTTTACTTATCCATTACATTGATTATTATATTATCGTAAAATGTAATACTAAGACATTCATAAATTTACAAGAAAAAATACAAAGCAATGTGTTGTAATAAAGACCTGTGTAAGTAAAAAATTTTATTTTAAAAACTGATTATTAGGTAATAAATGGAATCCATAGTATATAAATAAATAAAGAAAACCCTAAACTAAATAGAAAATATTTAAAATATACAGGGTGGTCCAGGTTATAGTAGCAATAATTCACCATTCGATAGTCCATCGAAAAATAAGTCGACATGCATGGTAATTTTTTTCTCCAAAACCCCTCCTAAGGGAGATACAGCCCTTCAAAGTTGAGTTTTAAAAATCTTTTTTTTGTCATAACTCTCAGGAAATAAAAGCGTTTTTGACCAAATTTGGTACAAGTACTTATGAAATAGGTACTCGTTACCTGACGTAAGTAACTTTTGTCAAAATTGTCCAGTGACGTAGATACAGGGGGGTTGTTTCACTTTTTCCACCCCATTTTTTACGCCACTGGATATTGGTTTAAATTGACCTATTTTTCTAATTCCTTGTTCAATTTTGAGAAAAAAAGCCACTCTTGTCAAATTTTGATTTAAGGCTTTGTTTACGAGATAATTGAGTTTAAAAAAACATACAGTCCTGCAAAGTTCAGTTTTAAATATCTTTTTTTTGTCATAACTCTAAATCTAAGATCGCTAAAGCGTTTTTCACCAACTTTGATACAAGTACTTATGAAGTAGATACTCGTTACTTGACCCAAGTAACTTTTGTCAAAATTGTCCATTGGCGTACATACAGGGGTTGTTTCACTTTTTCCGCCCAGGATTTCACTGAAAAATAACTCGACATGCATTGTTTTATTTTCTTCAAAATTCAATTTTAAGATTTATCTTTTCGTATAAGAATATTTGATTAAATTTGGTATTTAAAATAGGTAATCAACACTTGACGTATTTTTAGTTAAAATTATCAAGTGGCATACTACTTTTAGAAACGGATCAATGTGATAATTATTGATTATGATAATAAAAAACGATACGTACTAAATAAATCATAATAACATTTTAATAACGAATTCAAACTTATCTAACATTTACAAATAAATTAATTTAACAATTGTTCCAAATTCGAACCGTTCTGCTGTATGCACAATTGGCTACGTCTAATGATGTTCTGGTTTAAGCTTAATAGCACATTGCGATTAATTTCTGCACACGCATTCTGGATTATTTGTAGAAGCTCTTCCCTTGTGGGCACAGGTGTGAAGGGCTTTATGTCTTTTCTGAGGAAGTTTTGAAGAAAATAAAACAATGCATGTCGAGTTATTTTTTAGTGAAATCCTGGGCGGAAAAAGTGAAACAACCCCTGTATGTACGCCAATGGACAATTTTGACAAAAGTTACTTAGGTCAAGTAACGAGTATCTACTTCATAAGTACTTGTATCAAAGTTGGTGAAAAACGCTTTAGCGATCTTAGAGTTAGAGTTATGACAAAAATCTCGTAAACAAAGCCTTAAATCAAAATTTGACAAGAGTGGCTTTTTTTCTCAAAATTGAACAAGGAATTAGAAAAATAGGTCAATTTAAACCAATATCCAGTGGCGTAAAAAATTTGGTGTAAAAAGTGAAACAACCCCCCTGTATCTACGTCACTGGACAATTTTGACAAAAGTTACTTACGTCAGGTAACGAGTACCTATTTCATAAGTACTTGTACCAAATTTGGTCAAAAACGCTTTTATTTCCTGAGAGTTATGACAAAAAAAAGATTTTTAAAACTCAACTTTGAAGGGCTGTATCTCCCTTAGGAGGGGTTTTGGAGAAAAAAATTACCAGGCATGTCGACTTATTTTTCGATGGACTATCGAATTTTGAATTATTGCTACTATAACCTGGACCACCCTGTATATACAGGGTGAGTTTTAAGTTGACGCGTTCCTTTTAACAGCGTGTAGAAATCAGATAGACAAATATATATTTTAAGTAACTTTTTTTATCAAAACTCAAAAATAAGAGAGTTATAGCCCTTCAAAGTTTAATTAAATTTTGAGCCGGTCCTGGCTATTGTTAACAAAAAACATAACCATAAAAATAAAATAAACAATGCAAAATGTCATCTATGACAACAAACACAACCATTTAAACCAAAATGACACATTTAGCAATGCCTACAGAACTAGTTCAAAAATACCTGAGGGAGCGGATAAATCAGGTCAACGAAACGATTGGCGTACAATCGCGATTTTGACGACACTCCATAAATTAGTAACATTTACACTAATTCATTATTGCTATAATTATAAACCAATTTTAACAATAATTGAGGCACAAAAAAAACTTAAGTAAATAATGACATTTTTCATTGCTAAATGTCATTTTAATTTAAATGGTTATGTTTCTTGTCATAGATGACATTTTGCATTGTTTATTTTGTTATTTTTATTTTTATGGTTATGTTTTTTGTTAACAATAGCCAGGACCGGCTCAAAATTTAATTAAACTTTAAAGGGCTACAACTCTCTTATTTTGGAGTTTTGTTAAAAAAGTTACTTAAAATATTTATTTGTCTATCTGATTTCTACAAGGTGTTAAAAGGAACGCGTCAACTTAAAACTCACCCTGTATATACAAATAAGTTCACTTGATTTTTTTGGTAGATTGTCCTCTATAACAAAGAAAACCATGTTTTCTTTGCCATTATTAATTTCATTTATTCGCAATTTCCCCAAACCATCAATCCATATCAATTAAACCTTTCTACTAAATTAATTCTTTGGTGGTATTTTGTCTGTAATAAGTTTTAAAATTTTTAAAATTAAAAATGTACCTACTTACTTATTTAAGTATACACATACTTATATGTACATTTTTATATGTATTATCTGTAGTGGCCCATGAGGGCACATTAAGATGTATTATTATTATTATTAATGTTCTTTATTGAAGTTTCAAAGGGCCATTGACTTACGTCCTTCAGCCAGAATATTACAGGTTTATAATATAACAATGGTATTTTAAAAATAGATATATCACATTCTTACAAAAAAAAAACCAAAAAATATGTATACAATGATAATTATATTACTAGTCATCATTAAATATTAATTCTAAGGTTGTTTTTTGCGGATATCCGTTTCTTGCATTTTCTGCTCTTGTTATACAGAATTCCCAAAGAATTTCGGAGGTCTTGTCTCTCTCTCTATATCTGTCAGCAAGGTTTTGAATTCTGTCCATTATTGGTGTTATTCCTGTTTTTTCATAAAGGAAAGGATTGGGAGGGTTATGGAGAGGATTGTTTGGATGGCGGATTTTGGTAATTTTTCTTAGGGAGGATGTTTCTGCAACTTGTAAGTTTTTTAAAGTGGGAGTTTTGCAATTGAGGAATAATGGAAACCCATACTCAATGACCGGTCTGCAGATAAGTTGGTATATTTTGATTAGATTGTTGGTAGTTAGTCCATGGTTGTTGACCCTTAGTCCTGAGAAGTGTTTTGCCCTTGCTATTGTCCTCTTTTTTATTATTTGTGTGTGGAGTTTAAGGTTTATTTTGTGATCTAGAAGTATACCAAGGTAGTTGGTGGAGCTTTCTGGGTGAATAGTATAGCCTTGTAAGGAAATTGAAGGAGACTGATCGGTAATACGGTGGTGGAAGATTAAGAAGTGTGATTTATTGGGATTTGGTGACAATCTCCATTTAGAGAACCATTCGGATGTAGAGTTAACCAGGTTTTGGAGGCTTGTCATTACTTGGGGAAGGGATTTTTTGTGAGAGATGAGGACTGTGTCGTCGGCAAATTGTAATGCATAAGATGCGAAGCTAAAGTGGATTTCGTTTGCGAATTGATGGCTATATATGTCGTGACAGAATAAGTTATAGAGAAGAGGGGAAAGGGGTGAGCCTTGTGGAAGGCCTTGCTTGGTAACGAAACTGCTTGAGAGGGAATTCCCGACTTTGACTGCTAGAGTTCTAGTGTTTAGAAGTTTGTATAAAAGTGAAACTAGATAGTTTGGGCAGTCCATGTGGAAAAGTTTAAACAGAAGACCTTTTATCCAAACTGAGTCAAAGGCCTTGCTTATATCAAGGAACAGTGCTGCCGATGTTTGTCCATTTAGTTTTGCTGTTTCGATGTTGTTCTTTAGAATGGTCAGAGGATGAATGGTTGAACAGCCCTCTTTAAAGCCGAATTGATAATTGGGTATTTTTTCGCCAACTTCTTTTTGTAACATATGCTTTAAGATTTTCTCAAAATTTTTTCCTATTACCGGCAATAGAGTGATGGGTCGATGATTTTTTATGAGCGCCTGATTAGAATTTGCTTTAGGTATTGTTATAATCGTGCCCTTTTTCCACTCCTTTGGGATGTAGTTGTTAATAAAACAATATCTGTATATATTAATAATATGGTCGTGTATCTCAGAGTCCAGTTTTCTAATATTGCACTTGGTAATATGGTCGTGCCCTGGTGCTGAGTTTTTACCGGTAAATACTACTTCAAAGTATAGGTCGTCAAGGTTATTTAAATTTCTTTGAACCGTCGGATCTGGTTCTACTGTAAAATTGGTAAACCAGTTGTTTACCAGGTTATATGTCTCTACGTCAAA